GCATCATGGTGTGGGAGCTGTTTTATTTATTCAGGGCCTGGTGAACAATACATAAAATGTCAAAGATATTTGCTGAAAGACTTGAGAGATTCACAACAACGTGTGTAGAGTCAAGACAAAAAAAAAAGTATGTCTAGTGACTCAGCAGAACAGGGCATGACGCTCCACATAAAAAAGAAGAAATGTCCACAAACTGTTGGAATATTAACTCTTGCACCAGTTAAAACTAAAAACAGTTTAGTATTGTTTCTATTGCCAAATTAGCACTTGTTTGTGTAAATCTCAAAGAGCAGTGAGTTCAAGGTTAGTCTGTGTGAGAATGGGAGGGGGACAAGAGGAAGACAACTGTTGCTATCAGAGCAGGTGCAGGCTTTGGCAGCTGGCCAGGAGTCATAGAGTCCACGAATCTGTGATGTCAGTGACCTTGGGTGTACAGTATAAATGTATGTGCAGGAGTGGTCACGAGAGACTTTTTGCTTTTTCGTCTGACAAGGAGCAGTGAGACGTCCCCGGGGGCCACTCCTTATCTGAACGCGAAGCGAGATCTGTTCGCGGACCGTTATCTTGTAATATTGCTTGCAAAATCTTCAATATAACCTTTTTGAAATCAGGTTTGGTATCTGTCATTTCTATCACTGTTTTAAACATTGGTTTTTGTCTCTTGTTGAACTAAAAGGACCTGCAGAACGAAGGGCTGTGTTTGCGGCCTCTCTGCAGCTTCTGGGGCTGGGGAATTCTGACAAATTACTGCAGAACTTGGCGTCACGAACAGGATTTCGACAGGAGACACTAGGACCGGTCAGAGAAAAGATTAATTTGGCGCCAAAGTAAAACGGTAAGATTGTTACCAACTAATTAATCTTTCCTTTCACCTGACCTGAGACCTAAAAAAAAAAATAAAAACAAACAAACACCAAGTAGGGTAAATATTGAAGGATTTGCAAGTATTTTATATATTTATTGGGATAATAGTATTCTAAGTCTAAGATGACGTAAGAAAAGGAGAAAACTGTGTGTTTTATCTCAGTGATTGATAGTTAACCTAAAGGAAAGAAAACTGTGTGTGAGGATCTAAGTGATTTATGAGTTAAGGAGTCAACTGTGTGTTATCTCAGTGATTTAATAGTTGAAGGAGAAAACTGTGTGTTTTAATTAATTGACGAGAGGGAGAGGACAGGGACAGTGTCTAACTTTTCTCACTTTTTAATTTTTCTCTTGGTGTGAATGAGTGATTGATGTTTTCTGTTGAAAGTGACCATTGCACAAACGGTCACAGTGAACGCAGTAACTTGGGTCGCGTAGGACGGGGTCACGATTCGTGCGTACATTTCCCCACCACTTGTGGTTGAACGGGGAGATACCACGATCTGACGCTCTAAGATTACGCACCCCAATTGCTGATTTTTTACATTGATATTGATAACACAAGGCTTGTAATCTAGACGGTAGAAAACATGGCATCTGTAACATTAGATGAGTGGATAAAGGGGATTATGATATTCTAATCTCAGGAGTATCTGAAGAGGCATGTACAGAAATCACTATGAAAGTACTTAGAGTAGTGGCAGAAAAGGGATTCAAAATTGATTATGACAAGTGTGCATTTGTAAGACAGAGAGTATCGTTTCTAAAGACTTATCTCACTTCAGAAGGAGTCATGTGTGACCAGTCAAGACTGATCAAACTATCATGAGAAATCCCCACAAAGAATGGAGATTATTATTGGTGCAGTGTTGTTGCAGATAAATAGCAGATGCACCAAATATTATTGTACATATTCAGCTCCAATCTCAGAGGATCAGAAGCACACCACTTCTTCATTGTGCAAGTTACTGTAATGGCCCTAACACTAGGAGACGCCACTAGCGGTCAACTGCCGTCACTCAGTTATTATGCTAATAGTGTATTCAAAACAAAACGCCAGAAGTTGTATTTTATGACTTTTACTGGGTACTTGTGGTTTATATTTGGTGTGTTTTGGTTTTGGAAAAAAAAGTACAAGAAAACCAACCGATTTACACGCATTTTTAACTTTTCTAAACCACAGCCCTTTCTCCTGCACCCATAGAGATACATGGCGCGAGGGGCGACTGTTGTCTTAGTAACTTTCGGGGGTTTTTCGCGCCTTATAAAATGTATCAATATGTTGTAATTAGACTCTAAAAGGGACTTTTTTATTATTATTTGGTGAGAGAGAGGCAGTTACAAAATGATTAGAGCTGCACGTACTCGGTATGAAGCCCTGACAGTGCTTCAAAACATTGAATGACGACAGTCTGACGGAGGTGGATGTCACATTTTGAGGCAGAAAGTGACAGCGGGGAGAAACCTATAATTTCTAAATCTGAACGTAAACCCATACGTGCATTCACGGCACCCCCCCAGGACAGCAGTTGTTGTAACAAGTCCAGAAGCAATAACTCAACATGACCCGCGTTAATGCCAGCCATACGCAGGGTCCTGTCGTGCGCGCTGTCGCCTCCATTCTGCCTTTTCCATTCATCATCAAATTACATTATTATATGTACACATACAAGAAGGCAATATAGCAGAATACAATTTCGCATTAAAATAGACAATTAGGATGAACTATCAGGCAGAGTGCAGATCAGAGTGCTCGTCACCCGCGGACAAACCTGCGGAGGAGAGCGACTGGGGCAGAGGCGGCCCCTCATTTATCAATAAGGATATAATTCTGATTTCATCCAGATAACACTGTTGTTATTCTGCACAGCGCGCACTGCAAGGCAATGATTATAATTGTGTTCTGAGCATAAGAGCACTGCTTGCTCTCACATATAAATACAAATATATATATGATATAATTTGTCTTTCTAACGTGTCCGTGTAAATTGAAGTTTTAAATTGACGATGGTAGCCTAGCTGATGATATTGTGTCAATACGAATTTACTATTATTCATTATATAGATTATTATTTTCACACGGTCGATTTCGCCTCTAAAGAGAAAACAGTCTGGAGATGACGTAAGAAGTAGACGCATATAGCAAGCGCGAGACGTTCTGGTCCCGTGCTTTTCTAAACTATAATTCTTTTTTACCATTGTTTGAATATACATATCTGTTACTGAGTCAAATATAACATATGTGACCAACCTTTTAGGTGTTGCTAAGTTACAAAAAATTAATCTAGCAGAAAAGTCATCGTAATTTCAGACCGGTCGGTGGCCCATTCCGTGCTTGGTGGAGCGGCCCCGTAACACGCAATTGGTTTTCTTCTGCCCTGAGTCTTCTCACTGTGTGAGAGTCTTGCTCGGGCAGGCTCCAATCACTCTTCGCTGGCCTACTGGGAGTACATGTTCCTACGGCCTCCGCGTTGTGTCCCACTAGCGAAGTCCTAAGGGACGTAGCACCATGACGTAGAATTAATAGTTACATATGTAACTTAAGTTCTACGAATAGGTGCGTAGTCTCTTAGCTACGAGCTCATCAGGCCAGCCCGGCTTGGCAGAGTTCAAGAGGGGGCGCGGCCTTGTGCAGGGGCTTTTATAGAGGAGGGTCGCTAGTGGAAGGAGCATATTTATATATATTTGATCTCTCTGGCGTGTGACCTGGAGGTCACGTGATATCCCACTAGCAAAGTCCTAAGGGACTACGCACCTATTCGTAGAACTTAAGTTAATAAGTAACTATTAATTCCCTGTCATTGTAGTGCGTTACTGATGGTAACCTTTGTTACTTTGGTCCCAGCTCTCTGCAGGTCATTCACCAGGTCCCCCCATGTGGTTCTGGGATTTTTGATCACCCTTCTCATGATCATTTTGACCCCACGGGATGAGATCTTGCGTGGAGCCCCAGATCGAGGTAGATTATCAGTGGTTGACATATCATTTTGGGCTACATTTGGGCTATCTTTTATACAGATAACGAGTTAAAACAGATGCCATTAATACAGGTAACGAGTGGAGGACAGAAGAGTTTCTTAAAGAAGAAGTTAAAGGTCTGTGAGAGCCAGAGATCTTCCTTGTTTGAAGTGACCAAATACTTATTTTCCACCATAATTTACAAATACATGTTTTAAAAATCCTACAATGTGAATTCCTGGATTTTTTTTCACATTCTGCCTCTCACAGTTGAAGTGTTCCTATGATGAAAATTACAGACAGATTATTTTAAGTGGGAGAACTAGCAGGTTTTATTTCCAACAGTTCCAAACTGAGCAGGAACAGATGACTCCACCCATTTCCTCAGGTGAACTGTTGGAAGTAAAACCTGCAGTCACATGGCCCTTTCTGAAACCGGTTTGAGACCCCTGATTTACAGCTAGCTAAGAAACATAGAAGCTACTTATATTATATAATGTGTGCTCCGCGTTTGCTCTTACTATGTGCTATGTGTGTTACTATCTAAAGGGTGGCAGTAGCTCAGTTGGTAGAACGTTGGCCTTTGAGCCAGAAGGTCGTGGGTTCAAGCCCCGCTCAAGACTTTCACCATCGACTCCCACTGACTACTGTCGTTGTGTCCTTGGCAAGACACTTAACCTCTGGGAACACCAGCCACAGTGGGGCGGCTGCGGCTGTAAAGTGCCAAACTGCCGTTGTGTACTTAGGCAAGACACTTCACCCCCATTGCCTAGAATGAGTCTGGTGTGTGTATGAATGGTTGGTGGTGGTCGGAGGGGCCGATGGCACATACTGGTTGCCTCGCTTCTGTCAGTGTGCCCCAGGGCAGCTGTGGCTACAGTAGTAGTTTATCACCACCGTGTATGGAGTGAATGAATAATGACACATGTGAAGCGTCTTTGAGTGTCCAAAAAAGCGCTATATAAAACCGATGCATTATTATTATTATTATTATCTTGTATGTGCGCTGCACACTTTTTCTATGTGACTGCACACTGAGAACGCCAAACACCCTTCTCTGTAAACACCGTCCAGTTTTGAAACACAATACCCGCTCATCTACAAAAGGCTACTACACTTACAGTAGGAAGGGGGGCAGGTTACCAGAGAAAGTGAAACATTACAGAGTTGTGTGGTACCTTGTTTTGGTGGCAGCGCAGGCCTCCACACTTGTTGAGGAACATGACTTTGTGGGGCTGGAGAGCTCTGGAAACAGCGGCGGTGACAAGGATTGAGTCCATCATGACAGAGCGCTGCTGCTCGTCTCTGCCCACAGGACACACAATGGGGATGGTCCCACAGTCCAGACTCCACTGAAGCAGCTCTGTGTCCACAGCGATGACTGGAGGAGCTCTGAAACACAAACAAAGATTCTTTGAATTATGAATTTGGGGTGTGCTATAACATTTTTGTCTCACAATCCATTAATTCAATTCAATTATATTTATAGCCCAAACTCACAACTGTAGTAATCTCGGAGGACTATACACAATTGTTGAATTTGCCAACACAGATCAGAGAATCAAACAGATCACACACAAGAAATAAAACAGAAAACACATTGGTATTGGTCCATAAGGGGCAGATGACAAAGTGTCACTTGGTCACTGGTTGGGCAGAATCATATGGGAACAAATTCAATTATCAATATTGATACGATAACTAATGTTGTTTGAATATAAATAATATAAGATTTCTGAAAAAAAAAATCATCATGACAAAAGAAATCTATATAATTTCTGTTATTGCCATTTCCATATTAATATCCTGAGTGTATCTCATTATTGTTATGCCAACAAAATATATGTCAGAGTGTCAATAAATGTCCATAAATGTTGTTGATTGTTGAGATTCCTGGATCATCACCACTGTCCTTTTAATCAGACCTCACAATACTTTTCTATCGATATGGTAATTCTAAGTATCACTATGTTAATTAACCACTTCCTATCTTTGTGGCCCAGTGACGCTTTGGCATGTTACACCTCATTTTAAAGCTTTTTCTCTCTGGAAAATCTTCTATCCAAAAAGCCAAAATAAATAAGTAGATCAGTAAAAAAGCACATTCCATTTTAATCCATCCATCCATCCATTTTCTACCCTTTAATCCATTTCTGGGTCAGGGTGGTGGCAATCAGAGATGCCACCCAAGTCTCGTAGCACCAGCCCCTCACTGACCCTCTGCAGGTGGTGAGTCCACAGGAGGACGGCTGCTCTCTGAGTGTGAGCATAGCCTTGATCTTTCAGTGGGGGCTTTGGGCAGAGTGGGGTTAAGTGTCTTGCCCAAGGACACAACGACAGCAGTCATCAGTGGGAGTCGGTGGAGAAGGTGTAGAGGTGGGAATTGAACCCACAACCTTCAGGCCTGAAGGCCAATGCTCTACCAACTGAGCTACTGTCGCCCTGGAGAAAATCCAAGCAATTATTTTGCTTGGATTTTGATCCAAGCAAAATAATTAGATTATTTCTGTTATAAATTAAAAACTAAAAAGGATATCTCTGCAACACTGAAACGATTTATCCACCCACACTACATCCACCAGAAAGTCTTTAGCTCGAGGAGACCGGGCCTTTTCTGTTGCTGCTCTAAAACTGTGGAATAGTTTACCTCTGTTCAAAAGAGCAGCCACATTTTTACGCCTTGGCTTTTAACACTTAACTTTTTGCTTGAAATTATGTGTGTTTTGGGCAGCTGGTAAATGTGCTATACTAATAAAGCTGACATTTTTGGGTGTGTATTGTCAAAGAACGTAAAAAAAATAATGAAATAAAAACTGGCGATGGCTTCTTTTGGTTCTAAACCTTTGACCTATTTGAGACGGGGGGGCGGGTCTCTTTAGGGAGACTATGAACAGCTGCCCAGGGACTTTGGATGGAAAATAGCCTGCATGGCTAATTCTGGTGCAAATGAAGCTTAAGCGCTAATTCAGACTGGAAGACCTCATGCTGCAGTTTTAATCTCATCCAGGGCCAGCCTCTCCAGCCTCAGCCAATCACAAAGCTCTGCGAGCCCCCTTGCCAACCTATTGACTGCAAAGCGGGCAGTTTAAAAGCAGCCACTTCCTGCTAACAGCCGCTCCTGCTCATCTTCAGCAGCAATGATCTCCCCTCTGCAAGTGTCACTGCTGGGGTCAAAGCGCACATCAATAAATCTTTCTAAAGTGCATTTTGTGTCTGTTCTAGTCTCTCCAGGTTGAATTACAGAAATGTTTCTTAATGCACAATGTCCCAGTCAAAAAAACTAATAAAATAAAGGAAACGTGAAATGTGCTTTTCACATTTGTACAATTATGCATTAAGTGATCTTATTTACACCAAAATATATTGATGTTAATGTTTAAGAGCTGTAAAGTAAAAAGAAATGTTAGTCGGTTAATACTTGTGTGGGTAAACAGTACATATAAGAAACCACAAACTGTCCTCCCATGCTTTCTGTGACGGTGCTTTGCTCACAAGGATCCTTGCTGCAGGAGGATGGTTTGAGCTGAGAAGAAGGGAAGGACAGTGGCAGAGTGTTGATGGAGCATCTCTATGAGCTGCTGGCTCCGCTCCACAAGGGCCTTACTACACTGGGAGCCCACCACACAGTCCTCCTCGCTGCCTGACCACCCCATCACCACCACCGGCTTCATGTCCATCCTCTGCAGAAAAGACAGTCCAAACGCCAGTCTCTGGACCATGTCTCTGCGCTCAAACACAGAGCTGTCCACCTGCAAGTAAACAGCCCAAGCATTAAATGGTATTAACGGCATTAGGGGAATAAATGCCCCCAAAAAAGAATTATATTATGATTAATTTTGCTCTCAATAAATACCAAATATGCATGCAAAATTAAGGAGAGTATTACAGGAACATGATATAGTATTTTTTTTATTGGGAGGATCTGGAACATTATAATATTCAAGGATAGATGGATGGAATGTTCCAAAAGGGCATTTTTACTACTCAGAAAGTTAGACCCATTTGTCTTTTGGGTGAAATGTATGAAAATCAAGTTCACACAACAGTAGCATTAGATGCAGGGTAGTAGAAACATGCAATGGTACTAGAGTTGGTGAAGGAAGTGGCATCTCTGAAGACGCAACTCAATGAAAAGGATAAAAGAATCTCACACCTGGAGAACAGACTGGAGGACCTTGAGCAGTACACCAGGAGGAACGACGTCATTGTGACCGGGTTCAAATTATAACCCATCCAGACAGCAAGGTCACATCGAAAATATATCGATTTTCCATCAAAACAATCAGAATGGTTGACATTGAAATCTCAACTCTAAATACTGTAAATGTTGAATCACCATTGCAATACTGATGAAAACCTGACAAATGTAATGTTGATCCTTCCCCCTTACCCACCTTTGTAGTCTGTTCAAGTGGCTTAAGGGGTGAAATATCAACTGCTATTGTCGTAGCGACCATTTCTGTCACAGCAGTGAGTCAGATAAAGCTAGGTAACATAACCAGTGTGTGTTCCTCCGGGTCTCAGCGAGTCTCTCTCGGAGCTCTGCAAGCCAGATAAGCCTCTGTTTTCGGTCACACTGTCAGGTCCATTCCGCTGTCTCCCGCGGTCTTTAACAAGTTGATTGCGATTTTTTAGCGGACTTTCAGTGTTGTAATGTCTGTGTATTCAGTACATGAGTTCCATTAGTGTGTTCCTATTCCAATTACTTTTTCTTTGTTTCAGGTTTTGCATGATTTGAATAGGATTGTTGGGAAAGACCTTAGTAGGAGTTCTTCAAGAATCTTCAGCACAGCCTACTCTCCTGGAAATCTTTCTATCCAAAACTGGAGAAACTGGGCTGAAGATGTCAAAGATTATTAAGGAGAACAAGGTTAGTAGTAGTTTTATGTGGGTATATTGTCCTGGACTGAAATTTGATAAGGTTTCAATTCTTAAAGTTAAAAGTACAAATTATAGGTATTTTTACCTTAATTAAGTATATTTTATGATTAATACTTTTTACATCAATACATTCTATAGCCTCTAGAGAGGGGAAGACACTTCATTCACCTTGCCTGTGTGAATGTGGTGGTGATCGAAAGGGCAGAAGGTGCAAAATGGCAGCCTCACTTTGGTCTACCCCAGGGCAGCTGGGCAGGTTAATAATAATAATGTGAAGTATTACTAATACTATTTTATTTTGCACAATTTTGACATGAAGAATTGTAATGAGAGAGGGAGGAAGAAGGGGGGTCTCTATAGGAAATAAGAAGTGCCTGGCCCACTCTTCAGGAAACACTGCACTGATGTATGACATGACTGAAACTTGAAAATGTTTACTGTTTTTGTTTTCTGTTCTGTCTAATTTCACTAGAGACACAGAGCTTCATAAACCTACAGTGACTTAATTAAGTTAAGCAAGAACTGCTTTCATCGTTTATTTTGTGGTTAGATGTTAGATTTAGGCGGGAGGACGAGCAACAGAGTTAGCGCGGTAAAAGAAAAAAAGAAACAATACAATAAAAACAATTGTTTATTTTTAAAGGATGCGTGGGGTGTCATTTGTGCTTGTCTAGGCTATAGCCTTAAGATCTGCTATAGTTTCTCTGTTCTATATTTTGCTAGCCCATCCTGGCTGTCAATAAAGCAGGATTAAAATAGCCTAATAATATTTGTAATATATTAATTTAGACCTTCAGATTAAACCTATACTAAAGTCTCCTACCATTGAAGTTTCGTTGACATGCTGGGATTTCCACATTGTGTCTTTGTCCATTGTAATCGAAATACCATTGAAATCCTGTTGATCTCTGGGTATGATTTAAACGTTGCTTCAATGATAATAGAGGGTGTTGATGAAGAATCAACATCAGAGTCGACATTTATTCAATTATTTTGTCGTTGACAGCAGGATGTTGATTTAACATTGTTTCAATTACTATTTGCTATCTGGGCAGTTCCTATGCCAGCGCTGTGCGCAGAGATTGCGTGGAGGAATCTGCAGACCAGGATGTCATCTCTAGCTCGATAAGTGGCATCATTCCTGTGGGAATGAGTTAAACTGCAGCGCGATTGAGGCATGCCATTATCCAGGAGGAAGACCGGTGATTTAAGTTAACAACCCGGCCATCATTATTAGATTTGTGAATTGAAAGGATAAGGCTGCGCTCCTTAAGCAAGGGCGCAAGCTGAAGGGCTCCAATGTGTACATAAATGAACACCTTCCAAACAGAACGCAGATTTGGCACGGCAAGCTCGAGATTTAAGAAGGAAAAGCAGAATCCAAAGCACCTGGACAAATAACTGTAAAATTTTCATCAAGCTGAACAGAGCGTCACCAGAGGCGGCGAAAGTGCTGTTGATAAATACTTTTTTGCCCCACTGTATATAGACCAATATAAGTTCCAGACGGGCATCTTCCCTACAAAAATGAAAAAGGCAAATGTTATCCCTCTTTATAAAACGGCGATGTTCATCACTTCACAATTACCGACCTGTCTCTATACTGCCACAATTTTCTAAAATACTAGAAAAACTTTTTTGTAAAAGAATGGAAAAATTTATTAACAAACACGACATTCTCTCTGAGAGTCAATATGGCTTCAGAGCTCAAAGATCAACTGCATTGACTCTCATTGATACAATAGAAGAAATCACAAACTCTCTTGATAATATGCTATTGGGATTTTTATTGATTTAAAAAAGGCATTCGACACCATAAATCATAAAATGTTTATACATAAACTACAGCAGTATGGTATCAGAGGTGTGGCACTGGGTAGAGAGCTATCTACAAGCAACAGTTTGTGAAGATGAATGAAAAGTGCTCCTCATGTCTGCACATTCCCTGCGGTGTCCCACAAGGGTCAGTGCTGGGACCTAAATTGTTCATATTGTTCATCAATGATATATGTAATGTGTCAAAACTACTCAAGCTTGTATTATTTGCAGGTGACACCAATACTTTTTTATCTGATGTAAATTTGAAGACATTACTGGACAATATAGCAGGGAAAATGAGGATTTACAGTCTTAGTTCAACAGTAACAAATTATCTCTAAATTTAAGTAAAACAAAATGAATGTTCTTTGGAAATAGAAAGATAAACTCTGATATGAGTGTTGTGTTAGATGGCACAAATATTGAGAGGGTTAGTGAAACTAAATTCTTAGGGGTGATAGTAGATGAGAAACTTACCTGGAAAGCACACATTAAATTTACGTGAACGCCAAACTAGCCAGAAGTATTGAGTTTTGGCCAAAGCTAGACCGAAAGAAGATCTGTTTATCTATTATACTGTACATTAGTGTTACCATATTTGAGCTATTGTGCTGAGGTTTGGGGAAACAATTTCAAAACTGCTATATACCCATTAATTTGTCTACAGAAAAGAGCTATCAGGATCATTCACAAGGTAGGTTTCAGGGAGTACACAAATTATTTATTTAAACAGGCAAAAATGCTAAAATTCCATGATCTATAGTTGATTATTTAACAGTATTAATAATGTACAAAAAAATTATTATAACAAATTACCTAATCAAATTCAAAATATGTTTGTATCCAGAGATGGTGTCCAACTTAAAAAGGTAAATTCAAATTCAAGCCTGCGAGAGCACTTACAACTAGAAAGAGTTTTTTTGTCTCTTTCTGTGGGGTGAGGCTCTGGAACGCCATGAGTGAGGAGCAGAAGGGATGTCCAGACACGAGAAAATTGAAAAAGAATTTTAAAGAAACCATTTTGGCTCAATATTTTTAGAGAAGGCACTAATTTTACCTACTCTAGGAGATATACTCATATACCAGGAAACCATAATGTCAGGGTATATTAAAAATTGCAAATAATATATTAGGAAAACATTTTTAAAAGCTGTACAACAATCACTGATTAAATGGTACAAAAGCAACGTACTGCTGACAAAATATATAACTGAACGATTACCACTAGTTTCGCGTCCCGCAGGTCTCTCCCATAGACTGTAAGTCTCTCCAGAGGATACGATGTACAGTAAGCTAGCTATGTTCACCCGGGCTTGATTTCTTCTTTGATAATTTTTTTCGCTTTAGTTCCCTCTTTTCTTCCTCTCTGTGTCGTTTGGGCTGTTTTGCTGTGTCTGCAGTTACAGCAAGAGGAGTTATAGCCACTTTCTGCTAACATGCTACTGTGTTTAGCAGCGCTGTAGAGGCTAGAGGACGCAGCCTCGTTCTGTGAGTGGAGGAGAGCGGGCGTCACGCTAAGTCTCTGCTCAGCACTTTTTACGGCCTGAATTCATACACAGCTGAATGAATGAGCTCCAGTTTTCTATTAAATTACGGATTATAATACAACTTGTATGTAGTAATAAGCATTTTTATGAACTCATTAGAAAATAAATCGGGTATAGCCTCTTTAATATATGTTTATCTGTGTTTATGTATATGGATTTATGTATGTATAATGGTTGTACATGTAGATATGTATGTATGTATGTATCGATAGATAGATAGATAGAGATTTATTTTATTATAAATGTATCATTATATATATATATATATATATATATATATATATATATATATATATATATTATAGTTTTTTTTTTTGTATCTTTAAGCACAGGTTAAGGTGAAGTACGTTTGTTAATTTGTCAAGCAAAAAAACAACTGATGACTACGAGATATAGCCTACAGGGGTGGGTGTATAAAAGTTTTACTTCATCACACTCCTTTTTCAGTTGATAATTAGTTATTTAAAATAAATGTTTATTGTAAATATAAGTTATGTATATTGAACTCGAAATAAAAACATTTCATTACATCATAAATTATAAGCATTATATATATATATTAATTTACGTCGGATGGGCACTAGTGGTTGAAAAGTACCAAGTCCAAACAAGAAAAGATAATATAGAATATTCCAAGTAAACTAATTTAATTTCAAAATTGTCCCCAGAAAACAGTAACAGATCAATGTTAAAAAAGAGGGATGTTCGATTGAATGAGCAAGCAGAGTAGACACAATGCCAACTCAATACTCACAATACTCACTCCTCTAGCGCCACCTAAAGGCAAAACACAGAACCATGCATTTCAAAGTTCAAAGTAACAGGAGCGAAGTGCATGAGAACAGGGGAGACTCTCACCTCGAGCACCGCGAACGCAGGGGACTGAGAAGAGGACGCTCTCTGGAACTGTTGGAGCCAGTAGCGGGCCTCCCGAGGGTCTCCTCCGACCTCATTCAGGAAAGCTTTGATGTCCCGGTAAATCAGGTTCCGACTGGCCGCTAGATGTCGGTCTGTGTTGGGGTTTTGGCTGGAGAAATGTCCCACAGAGTCGGAGACGTGTTGCCGCGGGGCTCTGAGCATGTCCCGCTGCTGAGGACCAGCTGTCCGGGAGGAGGCCGGAGGAGCCGGGCTGGACAAGTATTTCCCCGCTGCCATCATAACTCTACAGCCGGAGGACCCGCGGTTCACTTTGGCCATGTTTACAAGTGTTTGACAACTGCTGCGGCTGAGTGCGCAGCGGCAAAAGCTCCCGGGGAACACGCACTCGGAGATTTGGTTCCAGCAGATATGTATTACTTACATTTACTGTTTATTCACTTTTTAAGATTTTTGTTACACCATATATTTTCTCTTAACAGTAGAACTCCTAGAGCAATCAATTTGACGGCTTTTAGTTTCAGCACGTAATTTTTAAAAATCTTCTTTACTTTGTGACTTTTCTGTTTTTTATGCAGTTTATTTCTATATCATTATTTTTATGAAATTATGTTTTAATTTTGAGTCGCTTTAACTCCCAACCTCACGTTTTTCAAAGTTATATTCACCAGTTTTCGCACTTGAATAAAACAGATGGTAAACTCAAAGTCCATTGATTTGAATGGGAACACTCAAAATGAGGATTTCTAGGCAAGGCAAGGCAAGTTTATTTATAAAGCACAATTCATACACAAGGCAATTCAAAGTGCTGAACAAAACAAGAAAGCATTAAAATAATAAATTATCACAGAACATTAAAAAGAAAGATAAAAATATAAAATCCCTCAGTTGTATGCACAGTTAAACAGAACGGTTTTTAACCTGGTTTTAAACATTGTCAGAGAGGAGGTCCAGTCCCTGTGCTCCTCTGAGTCTGGGCTGGTTCATATGGGACTAACATGTCACTAATATATTTTGGTGCGAGGCTATGGAGAGACTTTTACACAAGCAGAGCTGTCTATTCTCTGAGCCACAGGAAGCCAGTGCAGAGACCTCTAGTAGTTTCATACTTCTGGAGTCATTTCATTTCATTTCATTTGCCTTATAATTTTTCTGTCGTTAATATTTTTGAATGACTAGGAAATCTGGGTCTTTGGTTCCTTTAAAAGTGTCGGTATGTCTGGACCATAACTATCCACTCATTGACGAATAATTGTGAACAACATTTTGTTTTGGGAGACTCAAAGACTGTCTTCCTTTCCAGTACTTATTTCCTCTATAATTTGATTGAACCTGTAGAGCAGACTCTATTATTCTTCAAATAAAATAGGATTTGTTTGTGTCTCAAGAGCTGTAAGAGGAGAGCAGAAACCACCTCCTCATGAACGTGGGGAAGACCAAGAAGATAGTGGAAGACATCTGAAGCCGCCACTCTGCTTCTGCTCCTGTGGACATCCAGGGACATAGCATTGAGAGAGTAGACTTTAGTTAGTTATTATTTATTTAACCTTGTGGTAGAATCTGGAGCACCAACACAGGCACGGAAAATATGCAAAGGCTGCATATAAGTGGAGTGTTAGGGTTGTCAAAAAACTAACTTGAAATTAGTTAATACTAGAACGAATAATTTTGAGGATACTTGTCTATTTTTATAGCATGTTATTATAGATAGATTTCAACGTGACTTCTGGAGTTATCTTCTCGGACACGCTCCCAGTTCAGTCATTACAGGAAATCCTGTTTAAATGACCCATTACTTTCACTGGCACGACTGACATCACATCCAAATGCAGAGAAATGAGGGCTACAGTTTATGAGTATTCTACAGATCCAGAACAAATGCAGGAGGCGAATGGAGAGCAATATTGCTGATGCTAATGAAGCGGAAATACATGGAGTAGATGCCAAAGGAACAACTACACATAAAGTGATCCAAGCTTTTAGAGTCTATGATTAGATTTAATCATTCTGGTCATGCAAGACTGCTCTATCGACGTGACTTTCTCATGTACAGATAAAGCATTTATCTGTATCTGAATTATGGGTTAAAGGGAAATAAAGATTATTCATTGGGAATTGATGCTTGACATAGTGCTTTTCTATCTATAAGTGATCTGAGATTTGTAGAGTGAGGCTGAAGTAGTAAGAGTAGTAAACAACCTGTATCACGAGCCACCATGACACAATTAATCATTGTTGTTGCTTTATACTGTAAGTCACACAAGAGCTCTACAAAGTTTTGAGTACTGCTATTTTCCCATTCACTCCACACACAGTGATGACAGAAGTGAGATGCCGAACCCTCGAAGCCAGATCTGTTCAGTCACTTATTACATTCAAACTTATTGTACATAGCTCGGAGGCTACCACGAGCGCACCACAGACATGGAAAGTGACACTGCAATGACCACGAACGACATTAGTCGCCTCACATTGGAGCTTCGTGAGAGGGACCGTGCCACTATTGCAGACCTCCGTAAAGAAGTCCTTCGCCTCACTGCAGAGCTGCAGGATAAACAGTCACTCGTGTCCAAACTTTTTGATGTCGCTGGCGGGCAGCACTCACGGCTTATGTCACTGAGCGCTGCATACTGTGACACTGTCGTGTGGGAGAGATCTGTCAGCTCTGGACCCTCTTGTTCTACACCTAAGTGCCCGGTTCGGAATAAAGAGCCTGCGGACTGCGAGGAGCCATCCAGCGCCGTGGCCCATGTCCTGAGCCTGTCAAACCGCTATGCAGCCCTCTCCGCTGACATTCCAGCCCCCTCAGCAGAACCCCTGGACTCTGCAGCAAACTCTACTGCTGTCCGTGGATCCAGGTCCACTGCGAGAAAGACACTCTTAAAGGAAGCTGTCCTCAGACGAAAGAGTGATCATTCCCCTTCTCTGACCCCAGTGCATCACCACCACTTACCTTCACCGGGTCAGCAGCAGCGACCCGAGCCTGCTCCTCACGCCGCTCCAGCGTCCCCGAGCACACAGCGTGGGTTGCCCGGAGCTGGGAATCAACACCCCCACTCCTCTCCATGTGTTCAGCAGCGCCCTGGTTCGGACCCATCCCTGGATGAGCCCGCTGGTTCTGGCCATGGACACCGAGCGCCCTCTCCGCGGCCGCGTCCACTCTTCGCCCCGACTACTCTGATTGTTGGAGATTCCATCGTGAGGCACGTCCGCTTTTTTAACGCGGTCACTCACTGCATTACCGGAGCTACTGTCCCAGATCTGCTCATCCGTCTCCCTCCTCTGCTTCACTCCCTGCCCGATACCATATCCAAGGTAATCGTGCATGTGGGTATAAATGATATGAAGCTGCAGCAGTCAGAGGTCACAAAGAAGCACTTTATGGATCTGTTCCGCCTCCTCCAGTCCTCCGGGTTATCCGTTTTTATTTCTGGTCCAGTCCCGACTGTAAACCGGGGTGACTGCCTCTACAGTCGCGTTGTGGCGCTCAACATGTGGCTCCAGTCTACATGCAGCACTTTTAACTTTATTTTTGTGAACAACTTTGGCCTGTTCCGGAAGCGTCACGTGGCCTATCGTCCAGATCAGGGGTCGGCAACCCGCGGCTCCGGAGCCGCATGCGGCTCTTGAGTGCTCCTGGAGTGGCTCCTGGAGCCTTTTCAAAAATGTCTGAAAATGGAGTGTGAGGGCTATATTTTATTTCTAGTTTGAATGTGGTTTCTGTAGGAGAAAAAACAATCTTTACGTTTTTAAATGCTGTAAAAATATGTATAAGTAATATTTAATTTCAACATTTCTGTCAACGTAGTGCGTCATATCCTATGACGCGCGGTCACGCGGCCCCGCCCCATGCGGCCGCTGCTGTAAACAAACCGGCGTGTGTGCATCATAGACTGTAAGTGCACATGGATCCCAAAGCTAAAACGAGAAAGAGTCGATAACAAGACTGGACTAAGAATGAGGATCAGTCAATGAGGAAGGACTGCTTCATGTTTGTAATGAAAAGTTTTGTTGCAACACGAGGAACAATGACGCGCAAAACACCGTACACGGTGATTACGTGAAGGATTCATTCATCAAAAATTGGAAAAAATCAAAAAAATGGAAGTTAAACTAAAGCAGAGTCGTCCCGTGTTGCGTCATTCACGACACGCGTGGTGCGACACGCTGCAGTGAAAATACACATTTGATAATCATGAATGATTATTATGTATTTGTAGCCTTTACTTTGTCATTTAGATATTAGGCTAATATAGCTAATACATCTTGCAGCCTGTGTTACCTTCATAAAAGCCTTATACAAGACTGTTATTTTTTTGCGGCTCCAGACAGATGTTGTTTTTAGTTTTTTTGTCAATTATGGCTCTTTGAACATTTTGGGTTCCCGACCCCTGGTCCAGATGGTCTGCACCCGAACAGATACGGCACCAGTTTGTTGACGGACTTCCTACGCCATGTTGTTCAGTGCTCCCCGAGGGGGCGTGGGCTTCTCGGCTCTCGCCCCCACCACCCCCCCCCCCCCCCTCCTCCTCCTTACCAGCACCGGGTGAGTACTGTGGTGCAAACACTGACCTCTGTCCGTCTGGCAGTGTAACGACAGTCCTGCTGCTGAACTGTGCTGACTCAGTTATGCATCTGGAACTTAACAAAGTACAACAGAGTTCACTTTTTAAACCAATAGAGACTGTGTGTGTTCCTCGCACCAGCTCAGAAATGTGTTTTAACCTGAATAAACACAAATTTAAAAGAAGGACAGCAGTTAGACGGTCCAACTCTGGAAATCTAATTCCAGTTCTTTGTAATCAATCAACCAAACCCACTGACACTGATATTATTTTTAACCTTGCTCTGCTTAATGTCAGATCACTGTGCAACAAATCATTTTTAATTAATAATTTTATCTGTTCGTATGATCTTGATTTTATGTTTATGACTGAAACATGGCTTGACCATAATACAGGAGATGCAGTTTTAATAGAAGCCTCACCACCAAATTTCAAATTTGAATATGAAACACGAGAAAATAAAATGGGGGGGGGCATAGCAGCAGTTTTTAAAGATCGTATTGTCTCCCATAGAGTGTCTCTTGGGAAATTTTCATCATTTGAGTATGTTTCTTTTAAAATAGAACAAAAGAAATCTTCTTCCATTCTTATTATTGTTGTGTACAAGCCGCCACAGTCATGCCATAGTTTCACTGATCATTTCACTGAGTTGCTTTCAGTTGTGTGCACAGATTTTGATGGTTTAGTCATTATAGGCGATTTTAATATTCATGCGGATAATGTTAATGACAGATACGCAAAAGAGCTGAGTTCCAT